CCCCCCCCAATTTCACTGTCACTGAGCTTATGGAAGCACATCTCAGTTCTGTTTCCTTGTCCTACTCTAGAGTAGCCCTTATTATCTCCCCCACACCTCCAATCAAGCATTACATTGTAAAGACTATTTGGAAATTATCTTGAAATTTTATTTGCTTTTTTAAAAAAAGGCCTATGGGTATGGATTGCGATAACAGTTGTATGAGCCCCTAATAAAATGTTTAAAAAAAAACAACACACCATACACTAAAAAAAATAAAAATAAAAAAAGGCCTAAAAGCCACATAACATCCATATGCCTTCCTGCTAGCCATGAATTAGTGAGTTCTACATGTGGCATATATATATGTGTGTGGCATACATACATATATCATATCTATCTATATATAGAGATTTGGGTGAAGCAAATTGGCCTTTCATTCAAGAATCCACACGTATTTTGTCTGAGGACTTTGACCACAGCCCCCACAATGCAACTGCTTTTTCCCCACTTCTTCCCTGTGCTTAGGTGGCTCGCTTTGTATATACAGCCCCAACTCTCCAGTTCTTTTCACCCTTTTTAGCAGCCAGGTTAAAAGGCAGAAAGGAAAAGATTTCCAGATTAAAAAAATTTTTTTTTCCCATTTCAATTTCAAACATGGTAACAGCAAAGAGAGGACCAGTCAACCCCCCAGTCAAGCATCACTCAGAACTCCCATACTCATACACACTGGCACTTATGGTAACTGCTATTTGTTGCTGAACGCTTTTTAGTTGGTTTTCTTTTTTTAATGACTTAAAGTGACTTTGAGGACAAGTGTGTGCCTGGCTCCAGTCATGGTATTTTTAAAATCGCTTCATATGTATGTGATATCTGGCCAACAGATAAGGGAAAATGCCTCTGAATTACAATGCTGGCCAAGAAGATTGGATAGAGCCAGATAAGCAAATCTGTTTGCAAGAAGGACAATGAGAATGTTCCTTCTTAGAGAGGGTAGGGAGACTTCATGTCATGCATTTGGGACATGTTATCAGGAGACACCAGTTCTTGGAGGAGGACATTGTGCTGGGTATGACAGAGGGCCACTGAGATGGACTGACACAGGGACTGCAAGAGCAGGGTCACACATCGCAAGACTGAGAATGGTGCAGCAGCCGGCAGGGTATTGTTCCAGGGCACGTGGGGCCACTGTGACTCAATGACATCTAACAGGCCAGCGACTAAAGTTTTATTTACTTAATCTCATACTGTGGAGATGTTCAGGCCTTTTTCGTTTTCTGTGATTAAGTAACACTTCATTGAAGACCTGCAAACAAGTAACTTTCTTTTCTATTATTGCCTTGGAACAAATTTCTAAGGATGGGATTTATTGAGCTAAAGATTGTAAGTAATTGAGATAGCCATACTCTTTTGGAAAATAATATGGCAATATTGATCTTCATAATTAACATTAAAAAGCACAAAACCAAAATTTCACACAAAAAATTGATACGATCTAGGGGGAAGAGTGAAATAAAGGTTATTCAGGCTGTCATAAACCAAACTGGGTTGCGACAGAAATCCACAAATTCTTCCTGCTGGCGCCTGGGCAACATCCCAATGTGTCACATAAATGGCAGTGCTGGTCATCGAGTCAATTCTGTAGGACAGGCTAGAACTGCCCCTGTGGGTTTCCAAGACTGTAACTCGTTCTCCTTAGGAGCTGGCTGGTGGTTTTGAACTGCTGACCTTGTGGTTAGCAGCTCAACTCATAACCATTACACCACCAGGGGTCCTGAGGGAATCTTGGAGGAAGGGATGTAGCACTGAAGGCAGAAGCTTAGTTTTCTATTGTCGATTCTTTCTGAATTGCCTCATAAGCAGCATGAGTTAACAAAGGCCATGACAGTCTAGGTGAGAGAACACTCAGCCACTTGGAACACTGAGAACTGGAAATTTACCAGGACAGTATGTGTACTTCATCAAGCATACTGGATTAATCATTCCACTTCCTATGGTGGAGGTGGGGAGTGGCAGGATAGGCAAAAAAGGGGAACATAACAGAGCATAACCCAAACCAAATTTTCATCCTTAAACTTACTTTTCTCATGAGACGTTTCACTGATGTGCTCGGTAAGATACTCTAGCAGCCCATCAAATATCTCCAGAAGATTCTTAATAGATTCTTTATCTCCCTTCACAATGTTCTCTCCTGCACAGAGAACACAAAGCTATTAGAAAATTCAACCTGAATGCTGCTCAAGGATACAAGCATTCTAGAGACATCTGGGAGAAACAACACTGTACAATTTTAAAAACATCAATTTCCTGCTGATGGTTTAGAACTGAAAACGAAACAAAAAACAGTGTAGCCTTGAGTGCAGTGGGTAATAACCCATCAGAACATTCTTTCCATTTTCAGGGAGCACAATACTGCACTTAAGAAAACATCTCCTGGTAAGATTGAGACCAAGAAGGAAAAAAAAAAAAAAAAACTGAGACCAAGAGCAAGAGCAGCTAAGCAGATCTTTCCTGGGCCTGGGGCAAAAACAGCGGGGACACGGGGTCAGATTGTAGGCTGTGATACAGAGAAGGCGATTAAAAAGCGGGACACTAATAGTTTTAAAGTATTTATTGAGAATACTTTCATCAGATTTATTTCTGTTCCTTCCATATTGGTTAGCTCCTATTCACTTTTGGAAACTCTACCATGTTTTCCTCACATCTATCCTTGACTCCCTTGCTAAAATCCCAGACTTTTAAATAAATATCTAGCTGAGATGTTGAATAGAAAAGCATGGGAATTTGACGCGTTTTAACGCCACCCAAAATGGCTTCCACAGCCGGACCGCAGTCCCATCAGTGTGGAAAGTGACTCTTGAGACCCTCTGGTTGTCCTTTGGGAGATCAGGTCTGGCAGTCTCCTGAGTCCAGACCTGTACCTGTACCAGAGAGGCGGGAGTGGAAATCTGACATTTGAGAGATGCAAGCCATTCCGCATTTCAGCCACAATATACACAACAAATCAGAGGGCTGATGTTTTGCAATACTGTTAGCAAATACACAGGGTTGGACAGGCTCTCCCCAATTTAAAATAACTAACCAGTGATCCTGATGTCAAGCTCTGTGTTTTTCTGGCTTAACAAGATGCCCACCCCCCAAGAGAATAGTCGAGACTTGTCAGTTTCCAGGGTAGGGATCACAGGTTGCCAGCCAGGCAACCAAGCCTGCTGGCTGGCCTGCAGTGCCTCCGGTGCAGAAGGAACTGCACTCCACAGGGGCCCACAGGCATGAGGAAGGGCGGCTGGGGGCCACGGGAAGCAAGCTGCTTTAGAGCTTTCCATGGGGTGAGCCTGATTTGTTGGGAGGTTGACAATACTGCCTTATGTAGCTCTGTCCACCCAGCAAGCTCGCTAGAGTATGTTTACAGAGCACAAATAGCAGGAACTCAACGTGACAAAGCAGTGTCATTTGCCCAGGATCGGGAGAACTTCCGGGATTACTCCTCTAAAGGAGTCACCTCCAAATTGATTGGTCACAGCTTCTCAGCTCACCTGCACTAGAAAGATTTGAAGACAAAGCATTTCTCTTTCCACAAAAATTTGCTCGTCAATAGCAAATTATTGCTGTAATTAGGTCTCAACGTGTCCCGCTGAGACAGAGAACACGTTTGCAATCTTTAGTGACTGTTCACTAAGGGGTGTGGTTTGCTTCAAGTCATGGGATGCAAACCACCAGCCCTCAAATGCCAGACAGATCCCACACCATCAGAAACTCCAGTTTGCTCTCACAACCATGATTATCTCTTCTACACCCACTGATGTAGTTTGTTAATTTAGAAATGTGAAGGTTTATAGCCATTGTTTTTGAGTATGATGCATAATTATGTGATGGTCAAGGGTCTACTAACCTGTTATGTGCGACAGGCTGACCTGCAGGTAATCCAAGGCCAGTGAGTCAATTACTGCTTGTACATTGTGTGCATCGTCCTCCTGACTCCGAGGAGTAACTATCAGGTCTGTAGGAAAAAGTCACATCATTTTTGCACCTGTAAGGATCCCAGTTTATTTCTGACCAGATTTCTGAACAAGCTCAATTACTACCAAAGCTGCCTCTGCCCAAAAAGAATTGGCTCTAATGTCCAGACAAAGTTCCTAGATCGAGCCGGAGTTCCAAAGTAAAATGCTCATTTATCCAACTACCATACCTATGTCCGTGATCTCCAAGTGCCACGCTAATGAGAGAAAACCCAAACCGAAAGCCACGTCAAGTTGGTGTTCACCCATGGCCTCCAGGTGGCACTGGGAGTTCGGAATTGGACTGCTACCCTCACAGTGGGCAGTTCTGACTCACAGTTGCTCCTTGTGGGGAAAATGAGGGAGACTGTCTGCTCCGGTTAAGATTTCCAGTCTCAGAAACCCTAGAGAGTTGCTGAGTCAGAATCAACTGGATGGCAGTGAGTTAATCACCAGGCCTTTTCCTCCACTGGGTGGATGTGAACTACTAACCTTTGAGTCGTAGTTGAGTGTAATCTGTTTGTACCACCCAGACATCTTAATGAAAGATTTTTAAAACTCCAAACCTGTTGCTGCTAAGTCAGTTCTGACTCCTGGTGACCCAACATGGTACAGAGTAGAAGAGTTTCACAGGGTTTCATTGTCTGTAATCTTCATGGAAGCAGACATTTTTCTTTTACCAACTGTTAGGTTAGTAGTTGAGAGCACACCCAGGGACCTTACAGAAGACAACACCAAAACCCAAACCCATGGCCATCAAGTCAATTCTGACTCAGAGTGACCCTACACAGGGTTTTCTGAGGCGGTAAATCTTTACGGGAGGAAATAGCCTCACTTTTGTCCTACAGAGCAGCTGGTGGGTTTGAACTGCCAACTTTGTGCTTAGCAGTTTAATGCTTATCTGACAGTGCCACCAAAGCTCCTTTCCAGAAGATAAAGGATTCCATAAACTTAAGGAGATGCTAATACTTTGAGGAGACAATACATGAAGTGAGGTGTTAGCCTCTGTAGACAGCCTGCCCAGGGCACCTTGAGAGAAGCAGCAACCGCAGAAGGTGTGAATGAAGGAGACTTACATGTTTTTTGAAGCTGATACCAAGGGATCAAGTAGAAAGAAAATGTTTTGAAAATGATGCTGGCAACAAATGTACAAATGTGCTTGACACAAAGGATGTATGTATGGATTGTAGTAAGAGTTGTACGAGCCCCCAATAAAATGATTTAAGTACTTTGAAAGGAAAAAAAAGGTTAAAAAATGTCAGTAAAGATTGGAGTCTGGAAAGTTTTGGAGTTTCATCTCTGGTATTAAGGAAAATGAATTTTTAGGGGCAAAAGGAAAAACATTTTAAAAGTCTATGAAGTATATGCCAAACAGATGGGAGACAGTTGAAACTAGTATCAAAATAACAGCTAGAGGCTATCCCATCACCTTGGTAACATAGTGCTAGTTGGGCTACTAACCTCGAGGTCAACAGTTTGAAACCATCAGCTGCTCTGAGGGAGAAAGAGGAGGCTTTCTACTTCCACAAAGAGTTGTAGTCTCAAACTCACAGGGACAGTTCTACCCTGTCTTATAGTGGCACTATGAGTGGAAAAGACTTGATGGCAGTGAGATTTTGGTTTTATATCCCATCACTGGTGACAATGGGAAAGGAAGAGGGACCAAACAGCCCCTGAATACTTAGAGCTATCAATGACCCATAGAATCGAGGCAGTGAAGGAGTCTGTACATAAGGGTGCTGAGGGATAAAAGCTGGGCTACAGCAAAAATGACAACATATCCCAGAGAAGAAATAAGTCACAACTTCCAAGATAAGAGGACATGTGAATTTATTAACTGTCTTCTCAGCAAATCAGGTTCATAAAATACACATCAATTCTTTTCTCCACGATTAGTTATATAACAGGACACAACATGATCTACTCACATTTAGAGCCTTTGAAGGCACATTTTCAGAAAGGGTGTGGCTTTTAAAAGGCATCAGACATAATTAGATGAAACCGTGATTATCAAGAAGAGTCCAACTGATTTGATCAAGGCTGTTATTATGGTGGGCTACTGTAAGGTACTCATTAAGGTAATGAATGCAATATTTGGATAAAAATAAGATGCAGACAAAGAGGAAACAAGATTTTACAACTATCAAAGGATTTTAACGAGAGTTGACAATTGCTTACAGATTGAACTAAAGGCACTAGAAACTCTGGCTCAAACAATTACTCCTGGTTGAGGTATCCTTACCTGGCACCCTTTCTCCCAAAATTGACTGATAAAGTGCAATAAAAACATTAGCATCACAATCTTCAAGTACATGTATCCTCAGGTGTATGTGACATTTCAAAAGAAGGTTATTGGCAATGGTTACCCACTCTGTTGGGAAAAGAGGGAAAAAGTCATCAAGCACATACTTTATAAAAAAAAAAAAACCACCCCCAGAACAGGCACTGAACTTGTTAGATTGTAGGAAATTTAATAACCAAAGAATTTCAAAGATCTCTGTGTGTGTGTGTGTGTGTGTGTGTGTTGGGGTGGGTGGGGGTGAGGGTTGACTTCCCAGAGAGCTATAATTTCAATGTTGTCAACATAATATAGAATGTAAATCCAATTTCTACTGTTGTGACCTGGATGGTTTGGTAATTTACCCAATTTTTAATTTGTAAGTCTTACACAGGTGTTTCTAAAGCACACTGACAAATAAATGGGAATGTTACATCACAGAAACTAATTAATGGGTGTTGTTTCAAAATCCCTAAAGGACTGGAAAGTTTTTTACCCAATTCTCTTGTGCAAGTCAGGATTTCTCTGATGCCCAAATTGGCTATGGTTAACCTAAGCTGTTAAACGCTACTGTGCTTTGCTGGTTTTCACTTAGATATTATATTTTATGTCTGTAAAGGAAAATAAGAAAACTGTATCAAAGCGGTCTTGTGGCCACCATCTAAGCTCAGAACACAAGACGAACACTGTTTTCTGTACCACCCTCTCCCTCAACCGCCCCTTCTCGAAAACAATGCTGAATGAGCAAAGGATTTTAAGGGCTTCTTGAAAGCTGGAGACACTTGCGGGTCCCGCCCCGCCGCCCCCAATAATAGAATGATCGTGTGGAAAACAGTATGATTCGGTCGTGAGATACACCTTACGTGATGGAAACACATGAGTATCATGGGGAGGGAGGAGCAGACATTGCTCCACCAGCAGTTTTCCCTCACAGTACACCACCCCCTCGCCCCAGTGGTCACGGTTGGCAAAACCATGGCAACGGGTTGGTACGCAGTCCTGGAGAAAAGACGGGAAGCGTCGGGGCAACCAAATCGATTCGCCGTGTTAGACAAAGCCGGTAACTAGCGGGCACTGAGGAGGGGGAAAACCCCACCACTATCTCATATCGGCAAAGATCGCGACAAACGTTCAACACAAGCGTAGGCACGGCCTCAGTCCCCACCCAGGCCAGCCTGGGACGATCCTTCCTGACAGCTCTTGCAATCGGGATGTGTGAGTGCTGGCCGCCTCGCCCCAAAGCCGGCCTCTCCCCCACCCCAAACAGAGACAGGCAGGGGTCCCGCAGGCAGCCTAGACTCCGGCGCGGCCGACCCTACAAAGCAGGCGGGGACTTCCGGGGAGGACGACTTCTGCCCGCAACCGCAGGGCGTCGGGCCGAGACTCACCAGCCTCGGAGCCGGCCATGTCGCGAAGGCAGGTCGCCTCCGGAATCCCGGGCGGGCGCGCGGGGACGGTGTCCGAGCAGGGCCGTGCGGAGAGAGAGCCGCGGGAGGAGGGGGAGCGCAAGGAAAGTGTGGAGAAGGAGGGGTGAGAGGGAGGGACGTTTAAACGGCTTCTCGCTGCTGATTGGTCATCGGGTGAGCACTTCCTTTCACAGCGCTCCTCTCGGCGGCGGTTTGCGGAATCTAGATCACATTCTCCGAGGACCAGAGCTCGCTCCAAAGCTCTCCGGTCAGCGGGTTTGACTGACCAGGCCACCCACTCGCCTAAATCCGTCCCCTGAGGGAATTAGAAGGGCACTTCCGGTGATCCAGGTCGTTATGTATCCCTCCGCCAACGGGGGAAGTAGTGCGGCCGGCTCACGCGGTGGGCGGGGGACGCGGTCACGTGACGACGGCTCCGCCTTCCCGTGTCACTAGGCTATGGGCGTAAGGCTCTACGGAGACGTAAACATCTTCGAGTGGAGAGTGGCCGGTGACGGTCGCTTGACTTTTCAGGGCAGGACCTGAAAAGGGGTGGGGTGGGTTGCTTAAGGTTTGTAGAGACGAGAAAAGGCGAACTTGGAGTACGGGATGGGGGTTTTAGTGGTGGATAGGTGCAAACAGGACAGGGGAGAAAAACGGATGGCCCCGAGGGCGGGGCTGGGGAAAGGGAGAACATGGCGGATCCCGGAACGCTGGCGGGCGTTGCGGCCTCTGCGCAGGGGGCGGAGCGATTAGGTCATAGAGCGGTTCCCAGTATGCTTTGCGGCGGAGGAGGCGGTGCAGACTATAAAACCGGCTGCCGGGAAGCTGCCGGCGCCTCATTCATTTCCACCGGTCTCTGGTTGCATAGCTCCGGTTCCTGTCATCGCCGGCTGGTCGCCACTGCCGCCCCCGCAAGGCTTCGCGGTCGCCATCCCTAGCGACTCTTCGCGCCGCCGCATTCTCCTGACTTCGTTCCCCACCAACCGCAACCATTGACGCCATGTCGGGTTATTCGAGTGACCGAGACCGCGGCCGGGATCGAGGGTGAGTGGATACGAAGCTGTCAGGCCCGGTGGGTGGGGGATGGGAAGGCGACGAGTGGGGGCTGGGGCGACGCCGCCGCAATTGGAACACTGGCCTTCTCGGCCTTTCCCTGCTCGGCCTCCGACGGCGGCTTGCGATATTTTTTAAGTGTTTTTTAAATTAGGACATGACCCTTAACGGCCCACAAGCTCGCTTGCTTGTTTACTGCCCCGGGCGGGGGCCTGCGGCGATTTCGCCGCCGTTGGGGTGATTCCGGGGAGCGTCTTGCGAGCGGGGGCGGGGGAGAAAGGTGACTCGCGGAGGCCGGCTACGTAACCGCGATTTGCCCCCCTCTTCCGGGAGCACTTTTAGGCTCCCCGGGGATCCCGTGGGAGTGAGGGGCCCGCTCCCGACGCCACTGGGGGCGGTGGGGGCTGGAGGGTGGCGGGCGCCGCCGAGTTCCGCCATGCGGCTGAGCCGCGGGTACAAAATGCCGGCCTCGGACATGGCGGCGGCGCCTTTGTTACCCCGCCCGGCGGAGGAGCTCAAAATGGCAGCGGCGAGAAAATGTGGCGCAGAGAGAAATGCGAGACAAAGGGGGAAGCGCCGCCCCAGCGGGAACGCCGCCCGAGCGACTCCGCCCGGGCCGGGACTCCTCCCCCGGTGCTCGCCGGCTCCTCCTCCTCCTTTTCTTCGCGTTATATAATTCTGTTACGGGGATCGGGAGCTCCTCCGCGGGTCCTCCACCCCCACCCCACCCACCCTCCCTCCTTCCCATTCGGTTCCCATGCATAAGCATCCCCGAGAGCCACCTCCGTGCCGTTTTCACATGACTGCTGCCCCGTTATCCATTCTTCAGACCAAAGCGTTTTTGCTGAAAAGCAGCTGTATAAACAGCGTCGCCGCTAGGCTCCTCCCCTGTATCATTCCTCTCCCAGGTAGTTAAATTTTAAGCCTGTGGAAAAGACCGTAGCCACAAGCCATGTTGTCTATCCCGGTAATCTGAACTTGCGTGCGAGGGTAGCCAGTGGCGGACCTGATCAATCCCGCGCCCTGACCTGACCGTCCCGTAGTTCATGTGTGTACACTTGGGAGGAGTGGCTGAGCAATAGACGATGCCACTGGTTTAGTCTGTTGGGAATGATCTTGGTTAAGTGTGCTTCTCCAGCTGCACACGTTTCCTTTGAATGATCTTTAGCGGTTGTTAAATAAGTCTATGAACTTGTAAATGTTTTTATTTTTAATTATAGGTTTGGGGCACCTCGATTTGGAGGAAGTAGGGCAGGGCCCCTGTCTGGAAAGAAATTCGGAAATCCTGGGGAGAAACTAGTTAAAAAGAAGTGGAATCTCGACGAGCTGCCCAAATTTGAGAAGAATTTTTATCAAGAGCATCCTGATTTGACTAGGCGCACAGCGGTCAGTAGTTTTGTTTTTTTCTGACTATAACCTAGTAATAGTTTCCAGCAAATCAAAATTAGGCTACAAATGAGTAGATTTGGGGGTGTTTCGTACTTTCTGACTTCATAATTGGGAAATGGTGCCATTTACTTGAAAACACAGATGTCTGTCTTTATTGAATTAGTTCTTTGGAAATGGTATTAGCCAGGTGGTTCTTGAATTTTACAAGGTTTTTATGTATAGATCTAGATGTGAAAATAAGGGCTTAAAATGTAGCAAATACCGTGTTGGGGGCCTTGTCAGTTGTGTATTTAGTTAGGAGGCTGCTTGTTGCAAGACTGTAAGAGATTATTATAATCCTCCTGCAGCAAGATGTGGAGACATACAGAAGAAGCAAGGAAGTTACAGTTAGAGGACACAACTGCCCGAAGCCAGTTTTGAATTTTTATGAAGCAAACTTCCCTGGTAAGTGCCAGTTCTGAGTTCTTGATTTTTCTCCTCTTGCACTAAATTTTGCTAAATTTCTATCACTAATTACAGCAAATGTCATGGATGTGATTGCAAGGCAGAACTTTACCGAACCTACCGCCATTCAAGCTCAGGGGTGGCCAGTTGCTCTAAGTGGATTAGATATGGTCGGAGTAGCACAGACTGGATCCGGGAAAACATTGTCTGTAAGTGAGAACACAACTGATGATACTGTGGTACTCTAGTGTGGATTTGGGATTAAAAGAAAAGAAGTGCTTTAATAACTCTCCTCTTTCTTTATTCCCCCTCCAACAGTATTTGCTGCCTGCCATTGTCCACATCAATCATCAGCCATTCCTAGAGAGAGGTGATGGGCCTATTGTAAGTATGTGTTTAGCCAGTCGTGGAGATTGGTAGAATACATAGCAAACGATGTAATAGCTTGCTTTACAGTGCTTTGTGCAGGGATTAGCTCTGGACCCTTAGTTCCTTTGACTGCTGGACCAGCATAATTGAGGAAATTATATCCCAGTGTAAAATGTTCCCTTCAATACAAGGATCCAGGTCTGTGCTGAAAGCTATTTCTCTTTCTTCAGTGCTTGGTGCTGGCGCCAACTCGAGAACTGGCCCAACAGGTACAGCAGGTAGCTGCTGAATACTGTAGAGCATGTCGCTTGAAGTCTACTTGCATCTATGGTGGTGCTCCCAAGGGACCACAGATACGCGATTTGGAGAGAGGTACATAGTAGGAAAAATCTCTTAATCGCTGATGGTGCTGAAGATTGCAGATGCCCATGCTAACTTAAATTTTTTATTAAAGGTGTGGAAATCTGTATCGCAACACCTGGAAGACTGATTGACTTTTTAGAGTGTGGGAAAACCAATCTGCGAAGAACAACTTACCTTGTCCTTGATGAGGCTGATAGAATGCTTGATATGGGCTTTGAACCCCAAATAAGGAAGATTGTGGACCAGATCAGAGTAAGTTTGATTAAAAATAACAATTTTTTTCTTTTGAAACCCAACTCAAATTCATTTTTTTTTAAGTACAATACTAGATTTTTTTTGCTTCAAAATAATTTTTCTTTAGCCTGACAGGCAAACCTTAATGTGGAGTGCAACTTGGCCAAAAGAAGTAAGACAGCTTGCTGAAGATTTCCTGAAAGATTACATTCATATAAACATTGGTGCATTGGAACTGAGTGCAAACCACAACATTCTTCAGATTGTGGATGTGTGTCATGATGTAGAGAAGGATGAAAAGTAAGTGGTTTTTTCAATTTCATCTCTTAAAATAACTGCTCTACAAATGGAGCCACTGTCTAATAGGTCATCATCAAAAGTCGTTTTCAGTTTGGATAGGCTCACTTCTGCCATCTGAAAATCTGTTGAATCCTATATAGTAAGAATTACCATTCTAACATTTCCTGTAGGTTAAAAGGAACTTGGCTCTTGTGGGTTTACTTCAAGATCAAGAATAGAATTGTCTTACAAGTGGTTAAGCAGGTGTTTCCTCTTGGATTTGTAGACCTGAAAATAGAGCTTGACTGTTCTTCACTGATCATTTTAACTGTAAATTCTTTGCAGACTGATTCGTCTAATGGAAGAGATAATGAGTGAGAAGGAGAATAAAACTATTGTTTTTGTTGAAACCAAAAGAAGATGTGATGAACTTACCAGAAAAATGAGGAGAGATGGGTATGTGGGGGGTATATTTAGCTGATTTAGTAAAGTGGCTAATGCTATATGGCTTTCATGGATGAGAATGTCTTGCTTGTATAAGGGAAAACTATTTCTGTTTAAGACAATTGAAGATGTACAACCAGAAATGGTTAAACACCTAGACATGAATCGACCATTTGCTTCTAAATATAAGCCTACTGATAAAACATTTTTAAATTTAGGTGGCCTGCCATGGGTATCCATGGTGATAAGAGTCAACAGGAGCGAGACTGGGTTCTAAATGGTAAGTTTTGTGGAAAACATGCACTCCATTGTCCAGTTTGTTGCTGGGGGTGATGATTGATTCTATGTGCCTTTCTTTGCAGAATTCAAACATGGAAAAGCTCCTATTCTGATTGCTACAGATGTGGCCTCCAGAGGGCTAGGTTAGTACAAACTCGCATTCGTGGCTTGGTTTCCCAGAAGATCTCCATACAATTTTTTAAAGAAAGTCTATTGCTTTCTTTAACCTCTGCATTTTTCTAAGTTTTTTTTTTTCACATAAAGGTGCAGTCTTTGTGGCAAGGCCTAGGCATGACAATCGGAGGACTCGAGGGGGATGGAGGACTAGTGATCGGCTGGCTGCTTCCAGTCGAGTAGAGAGGTGGAAAGCTGACAGTGTGCCAGTAATCTTCAAAAGGCAGAAAGTACCACCTCTGCCACGTAAACTGTTCTCTCCAGGGGGGAAAGGGAAGCTACCCTCTCACAGTTCACTGCCGTGGTATTTCTTCTGTCCCATGCTTTGCATGACTGCCATGGTACAGCCTTGTTTCAAACTGTCTCCTGTGATCTGTGGGTCTTTGCGTTTCAGTGAGTTTGCTGAAATGTCGAAGAAATATTTCCAAACTTCAGTGTTCAATGAAATTTTTGTTCAAGTTTGAAACGGAGAGAGCAACTTTAAAAGGTACTAAGCCTTTGACAAATTGGTGAGTACTGGCACATGAGCTCTAGAGCAGGAGCACTTCCCACCCGTAGTCAGTGGGAAAGGAAACAGTGCTTTGAAAGTTCCTCCCTCAACCTACACCGTAGTCGTCATGTCGAGACCTGCCAGAGAGAGACACATTCTCAAGTGAGTCCTGGCTTCTTGGAAGCGCTTGCCTAGACGAGACACAGTGCATAAAAACCACTTTTGGGGGACAGGTATGTTTTTCTTGCAGCTGCGGTTGTAAGGTCTTGGCAAGACGAGCAGTGTGGCCAGAATTTTGAACTGATGAATGTGTAAATGCAAAGGACCACATATATTTTAATCGAAAGGTCCTCAAAAAGAGCACATGAAGAGGTGGCTGTGAACTTTTATGTGGCCCTACTGCGCAGAAGCATTCAGATGTCACTTGATGATCTATCTGTAAGGGGCCTTCCTGATTTGGGAATGTATTAAGGAAATAGACATTCCTTTTGGTTGGCCTTAACACTGGGTGGGTAATGAGAATTACAAAGATGACATGTGCTTTTCTTTCCTTTTTTTTTTTTTTTCTTCCCCCCTCCCCCCCAAACCTCAATGGTCTTCCTACAGGGAATGGATAACCATTTTAACTGTATTTTTTGCAGCCCATACCTTCTTGGGAATACAATTGTCTAACTTTTTATTTTTGGTCTGGCTGTTGTGGTGTGCAAAACTCCGTACATTGCTCTTTTGCCACACTGCAACACTTTACAGATGTGGAAGATGTGAAATTTGTCATCAATTATGACTACCCTAACTCCTCAGAGGATTATATTCATCGAATTGGAAGAACTGCTCGCAGTACCAAAACGGGCACAGCATACACTTTCTTTACACCTAATAACATAAAGCAAGTGAGCGACCTTATCTCTGTGCTTCGTGAAGCCAATCAAGCAATTAATCCCAAGTTGCTTCAGCTGGTCGAAGACAGAGGTTCAGGTAAGGCCAACCTTTGGTATGAGATAACGCTGCTTATTTATTGGAGGGCACGTGGTTTGTCTCGAATCAATAGAGCTGAGCAATTGTAAAACACTTGTGACAAAGCTACCTAACTTCCTCTTTTTTAACAATGATTTGTGTCATGGAAATAATCAGTTTGCCATTTATTTTCCAACAGGTCGTTCCAGGGGTAGAGGAGGCATGAAGGATGACCGACGGGACAGATACTCTGCGGGGAAAAGGGGTGGATTCAACACCTTTAGAGACAGGGAAAACTATGACAGAGGTTACTCTAGTCTGCTTAAGAGAGATTTTGGAGCAAAAACCCAAAATGGTGTTTACACTGCTGCAAATTACACCAATGGGAGCTTTGGAAGTAATTTTGTGTCTGCTGGTATACAGACCAGCTTTAGGACTGGTAATCCAACAGGGACTTACCAGAATGGTTACGATAGCACTCAGCAATATGGAACTAACGTTCCAAATATGCACAATGGTATGACCCAGCAGGCAGCATATGCATATCCTGCTACTGCAGCTGCACCTATGATTGGTTATCCAATGCCAACAGGATATTCTCAATAAGACTCTAGAGGTATATGTAAATGTCTGTTTTTCATAATTGCTCTTTATATTGTGTGTTATCAGACAAGATAGTTATTTAAGAAACATGGAAAATGCAGAAATGACTGCAGTGCAGCAGTAATTATGGTGCACTTTTTTCGCTATTTAAGTTGGATATTTCTCTACATTCCTGAAACAATTTTTAGGTTTTTTTTGTACTAGAAAATGCAGGCAGTGTTTTCACAAAAGTTATGTACAGTGATTTGAAATACATGAAGGCAATGCATGGCCTTCCAATAAAAAATATTTGAAGACTGAATTAAGTGGAAATTGTACTTTATTTTACATCTATATTGTCATGTGAAACTTAATGGTTTGTTTTTAATCAAAAATAAGATTGACTTGTTTTCTCCTTTCCATTTTATTTTGGGGGTTGGGAAATTGGTTCTTTTTATAAGAAGAATCTCTTCCTATTGTGCAAGCATTAAAATGGGATCTATACTGATAAATTTTATAAACTTAGGCTAAATTGCATAAATGCTTTTGTGGATAGCATTCAACCTTGGAGTCATTTAACAAGCCTATTTTCCTTAATACTGCTACAGTGGATGATCATTAGTAAAAGTGGATGTGAAATCAGTTGTATAGCTCTACCCTCAAACTGTTGGAACACCATGGATGACTGACTTCCCCTTTGGAAATTTTTAATAGTTGGAGAAGTTGAACTTTTTACCCCCAAAAATTTGTGCTCTTGGCTGTATTGTGAATTACCAAGATGGTCAACAAATCTGAAAAAGACATGGTTTAGTGCTGTAAGGGGCAAAATTTGAGTCTGACTGGATTTGTTTTCAGTGTCCTTCATTCAAGTTATGTGTAGATTTTAGTCTTTACAGGCTTCCTGGGGCTTTTATCTAGTCTCACTCAGTCATGAATGTCCAATAATTCAGGGAATTTAGAGGTCTTGGAAACTGTATGTGTTCATGCAATTTACAAAAGTCCTCACCAAAATGCTAGAGGCAGCAGCCAAAAAGCACAGTCTTAACACAGGTGTGTTGCTTGAAAGGTCCAGGGAATAACTTTAGGATGAACCCTCTTAATATTTTCTAATGCTTTATGTCAGTAATTCTGGAAGTAGGTTTGAATGTATTTCTGGAGAGAGTTTTTGTTTTTGCCAGGAGACGAGACAAAAGTCTGATTATTAACCCAAGGCTTTAATTGCTATTACTGCCTTATCTAAAGTATCAAATGATTCATTTCAGGGGTGGGAAAAATTTCTATGACAAATCTATTGAAAACTGGTTCATCTAGTAACCAGTTTTCAGTGTCACGGTTTGTCAAATTCAGACTTCCAGGGTAGGTTCGATCATTTAGTACATATTTTACTGTTTGTTGTCTAACGTGGGGTTTTTAATTGTGAACAATTACAGACGTGATTGTGGTACTGTGGTAAACATTTACCTATTTTAAGTAAGTTTTAAGAGTTGACTCTAGCATGTGTGTTGTGTCTAGCCTGTAGTTGTCTTAATAAATGTGATTTTTCTCCCCATTCGCTCCTTTTTAATTTTTTTTTGCGTATAGGCCAGTTTTCTGGTGTGGGTTTATAGGTTTGCAGTTACACAAATTTTCCTGTAATACGGATTGTTTTTGCTCACCTCTTCAAAACCATGCTCACGGGCTTGTGGTCTGTCCTAGGCACCTTAGACATGATCAGACATTCATTTTACCTCGTTTTCACCAACTTCCCCTTTTGGTAATCCAATGCAGTCTAAATTATTTCACTTGTACCATTTAGTTTCTATAACGAATTTGAGCTACACACCATTGTCCATGTTTTGTTGAAGGTAGAGATGTACAAGCCTTCAGCAGTCCAAAGGGTCTTGTATTTCAAAAGGGGCCCACACTTGGGTGTCAAACATTTAGCAAGGGCCCCGGAAATGTTACCTATATATTGATCCGTGTGCTTTCATGGGAGCCTTGGCTGGGTTCAGGTTTCCAGAGTTGTGGCAGGTGCGGCCCACGAACTGAATTGTAGGTAGACTGCATTGCAGTTGCATTTGACTGAAGCGAACGAGAGGCCTGCGTTTTAAAAACCCACTGGAGGAAAATGGAGGCAGCTTTGGCGAACTCGTGCACTTCGCCCCATTCTGCCCTGTGGTGGGTGAAGTGTATGATAGTTATGCCACCAGAAGGTGCACAGGTTTCTGCGGAGCTCTGGGAAGAAAGGTCCGGCCTGGTTAATACGGTCCAATGAGGTGCTGGAAGGTGACGCCCGACCCCGTGGTCGGCAGGGCGGTACCCAGGGGCTGCAAGGGCACAGACCGGACAGCGTTTCTTCCATTACACACAGGCAGGCGCTGCTTCCACGGCAACGAGCCAAGCAAGTATTGAGGCCATTTTCTGGGTAGGACGGGGGTGGTGAAGAGCAGGTGGAAATAATCCTAATGGGTGCTGAGGAGAACCAGACAAAGGGGGGGGGGGCAGGCTTGAGCGGCTCAACACGAAGCTCGTGCTTCCTCCCGCCGTGGCGGGCCGGAGCCGGAGCCGCAGCGTGGTGACGTGTGACGTCCTTCCGTGGGCGGCGCTCGCAGCCCGGCGGGCGCACGCCTGCTTCCGTCACGCTTGCGCGGCGCGCTCGCCGCGCTCACGTTTTGTGGCGTTTCCCCGGATGCCGTGAGCTGAGTCTCAGCCGGCGGGGCCATGCGCGCTAGTGCGGCGGCCTGGGCCGGCCGTAGCAGCCGCAGGTGCCTCTCGGGGCGCGGGGGTGGGGGGCTGCTGGAGCGCTCGACGGGAAGCAGCGGCCCCTTCGGCCGGCAGCGGAGGTGGGGCGCCGAGCTTCCTCGGGGCCGCGAGCCGACGGGGGCCCCCGGGGCCGGCGAGGGCAGCGAGACGCTGCTGGAGATCTGCCGGCGAAGGCACTTCCTCGGCGGGACCCGGCGGCCGCTTAGCCGAGAGTCCCTTCTGAGCGGGTGCCACCCCGGCCTGGGACCCTTGGGCCTGGAGCTGCGGCAGAACCTGGCGGCAGAATGGTGGTCCTCGGTGGTGGTGTTCCGGGAGCAGGTCTTCCCGGTGGACGCCCGCCACCACCAGCCGGGGCACGGTGCCTTCAGGTTAGTTTCTGCAGAGAGGCTACGCGAAATCTTGCAAGACCAAGAGCTGAGTAAGGAACAGCTGGTAGCGTTTCTCGAGAACTTACTTAAAACCTCGGGGAAACTCCGGGAGAACCTTCTTCACGGTACGCCTCACGACTTCCTGCTTCCAAATAGGTGTCGGGAGGGGGCGGCAAGGCAGGCTGGCGCCACTTAGGCCCTTTTTTAACCAGAGAAGAACGTGGTCCCGATGATGCTTCCACCCCGGAGGAAGTCCCCGGAACTCTTCCCCTGCCTGGAAGAATCTCGATTTCAGTGGGCAGCATGGCTGTGTTCACGGAATCTGAGCCCGCTGGAACCGCCGGAGAATTAGGACGTTCATTCAATCATCGGTTTGGGCCGTTTGCTCCTTGCTAACCAGGATTTTTACACCCAGGTCACTCTTCTCAGCTCCTCCCCTTCCCCCACCCCCACCCCCAGGCTTGACAACATTTTCCAAGCGCCCAAAGAAAATACACCACCACCCTGCAGTTTTTCTCCTGGAAAAAGGTTTCAACCACCCTTCGTTCCTAGTCCCCTCATGTTTGATTTAGCAAAAGAATGGGCCGACCACTCCACCAGCTTTTTAAATAGTTCCAGATATGCTGATTGCCCATGGTTTTAGTCTTGTAGCCTTTGAAAGATTTCCTTCAAGAAATAAAACCGGTGATCCTTTTGACTTGTAGCCTTTTAATTTTTCTATGATGGCTTGACTTTGGGTGGAGGGGGTTAAATCAGTCAGCACTCTTACAAGGCCACCAAGCCCCTCAATCTTTCCTTCAAGCTCTTAAGTGACACCACTATCCTTCCACGTGCACAGATTTGGAGCGTCAGAATATGAGATAGCCTAGCCTCTGTTAGCTGTCCAGTGGAGCATCAGTGTCTGGACCAAGCATTTTCTTGCCAAATGCCCTGGCTATGTAGAATTTTTCGGTTTAGAATTGCCATTTGCCATTTTCTGTTCCCAGTGCTCTGCCTCTGTGTCTGTGGTCTGTCCTATTACAGTATCCTCTACTTAGTGTTCTTAGCTACCTTGGAACCTGACTCATGGTGGCGACCCTGTGCCCAACAGAACAGAACACTACCAGCTCCCGCACCATCCTCACCATCGTTAACTACTTAAAAGCCGTTTTTCAAAAATCCTCAGCCATTACATCCCAAGTAATGTTACTATTCATTCTCGTATTTCTCCTGTGAATAACTAGACCTTTTCCCATCTTTTCATCAGTTTTCTTACATTTTCAAGTCCACGTCTGATGATTCACGTAGATTTGTTTCTAGTGTCTATTCTCCTCAGGGTGATTGGTAATCTAGGCTTTCTGTTTTTCTTCTGGTGGTCAAGGGGATTGTGTGTGAATAGGCCATGAGAGAAACAGACTCTGGTTGATGTTTTCTTCTTCCTGGGGGATTTTCTTAGCTTTTGGCATGCAGCTCCACCAGGGATTTACGATTTTAATACCGCCAGAGATGAAGGTGATGAGAGGCCGGCCTGCCTCTTCCCTTCACCCCTATTCTAAGTGGGACCTTTCCTTGGAGGGGGCCAGGAAGTCCTTGGCTCCGGATTTCAGCCTCTAGAAAAGCAGCATGACAAGTTGAGTTCTCCTGGGTCCCTTCCGACCACATCTTGGACCCTCAAGTCGTGGCTGCCTTACGTAGCGCTCTTATGTCTTTAAACAGATTTTTTTTTTTTAAAGAAAAAAATTTATTTATTTTGGTTTTAACTAACTTTTATCACTTACTGGAAAGCTAATCTACGTTACCAGGAATGGAAATCTTAAATAATTGGGCTGCAATACAGGCAGTCCCAGGATTATGAATGTAAGGCTTACACAAGGTCAGCAACCCCCTCATCAAGCCTAGTAAAAAGTTGAGGTATGTAAGATGGTTCATAATAGTAATAAGCAGATGTTGCTTTGTGACAAGGACATTATTTTTGTTTTTATAGTAAGAATTTTAGTGTCTGGAAGTATTTAATGTCTTTTTTGTATGTGTGGTGTAGGGGTTATGAATTGGGCTGCGATCCAAATGGTCAGCAGTTCAAAACCACCAGCAGCACCTCAGGAGAAAAGACTGGGCTTTCTATTCCTGTAAACAGTGACAGTCTCGGGGACCCACAGTGGGCTGGTGGAGTCAGCATTGACGTCATGGCTTTGAGTTGGGTTGCGCATAGACACATACACCACACTTATGTACTAAGATATATTTGACTGCTGCACACTAAATATACTTCCAATTTATGTATAAATTTAATTTACAACCCAGATTTAGGAATGGAACTCGGTTGTAACCATGCATTGGCTTGTGTGCTTATTTAGTGGGCTTTAAGTAAATCTTTTCCTAATGCTCTTAATTAAAAGGGACCAGAAGCAATGACCTAGCTAGTGCCCAGATCTTGGTTTCTGAAATTAATCAGTGCTTGAGGAATGGCCAACTCCAGGTTTGGGGCAGGGCAAGTACAGGATAAGTTGTACTAGTAAATAAAGAATTGCCCAAAGACTACTAGTAGGATCACATCAGAGAGAGACAGGAGATGGCCGAAAGGGGGCTGTCACTGGCTAAATCTGGGACAAATTGAACAGTGAAAGGAAAACACTATACTGATGATAATAGATTGTAATACATTAAAAACAATAATACAAAAATCCAAGATTCCACAGAGTTAATTTTTTTAAATGTAATCATTGGTGCCAGCAGTAGAGAAAGCTTAAACGTTTGCAGAAGTGTACAATAATGTAGAAAGGAAGATAGAAATGCCACCATTTTACAATCCCCAGTGTACTGATTCAAGCTAAGACAGTCAGTGGGTTCTGAAAGACTGTTGATGGGGTTGCACCCGTGACTATATAGAGACTTGACAAGATAGGTCCACATGGGCATTGAAATGTGCTGTCAATATCCAAGAGGAGCCTTGGTGGCATAGTGGTTATGTGTTGGGCTACTAAGCACAGGGTCAGCAGTCAAAAGCACCAGCTGCTCCTTAGGAGAAAAAGGAGGCTTTCTACTCCTATAGAGTTATAGTCTCGGAAACCCACAGGGACAGTTCTACTCTGGCCTAGAGGGTTGCGATGAGTTGGGAGTTTGTTTTTTGTAAATATCCATGAATATAGTAAATAAAACAACTCATAAACTCACTGCTAGTAAGTCTATTTCGACTCATCGTGACCTGTAGGGCAGAGTAGAACCACCCCTGTGGGTTTCTGCGGCTGTAAATTATTACAGGAGTAGAAAACCTCTTATTTTCCCTAAGGAGCAGCTGGTGGTTTTGAAGTGCTGACCTTGGAGTGGGTGATACAATGCATAACCCACTCTGCCCACCAGGGGTCCTTTTCTAGTAGAGCCTACAGGGATCACAGTTGGGAAAACTTGCTAACCCTAACCAGACACCTTGATGGAAAGAGCTGCTCCTTGGGACCAGAAGAACTGGATGGTACCGAGTTAGCACTGCCAGCCACTCTGAGAGGGAGGGACCATAATAAGAGGATCTGGATAGCATGGGAGAAAATGAGCAAAACTCAATAAAAGACCCCTCTTACTGGTCAGATAAAGACTGGTAGAAGAACCTCAAAAGACTGTGGCCCTAGTAACCTTTTTAGGCACTCCCAGGGCTCAACCTGCAGCCAAACAATAGGCCTGTATGTGAACTATAGCTCTGGGCAGTACAGTCTTCCCAGCATAACTAACCATAAGAGATCAAAGGGCAGTGTTTGCCCAGATAGAGCAAAGACAGCAGGAAGGGGTCTGGCAGAAGGACTCCTGGGAATGGTAAACCAGGGAAGGAAATAGGAAGGAGGGGATTGTAATCATGCTATGTATCAAAACTCACATTATTGAATGAAAATCCAGTTTGCTCTGTAAACTTTGACTCAAATCACAAAAAATGTTTAAATTGTTGAGAAGTGCATATTCACTAAACCAGTGGTTCTCAACCTTCCTAATGCCACGACCCTTTAATACAGTGCCTCATGTTGTGTTGATCCCCCAACCATAACATTATTTTTGTTGCTACTTCATAACTGTAATTTTGTTACTGTTATGAATCGGGCGACCCCTGTGAAAGGGCTGTTTGACCCCCCAGGATGAGAACCGCTGCACTAAACTAATCAAATTTGGTTATCAAATTCTCAAAGTGGGATAATTTCCTTGTATGATGCAGTAAGATACACACATAGACTCTAGTATTCTTGCCAAAAGTTATCAACTCAAATTATAAGGTGAAGCATATTCCAAATGTGAGACATTCTTTGATCTGGACTCATCAAAAGTTTGTTAGTAGTTGAGTTGGTTGGGGAGGGGTCAGGTGAAATGTTCTAAGTGAAAAGACATTAGCTAGATCTAATCAAAGTGCAATGCATAGATGTTAATTGGTGCCTGAAGTAGGGAGCAAATGGTCATAAAGTGACAGTTGGGGAAAATACAATATTGACTGTTGGGGTGATTTGGTTCATTTTTTAATGGTACAGTGTAGTGTAGTGGCTATGCGTTGGGCTTTGATCAGCAAGGTCTGCAGTTTGAAACCATCAGCAGCTCCTTGGGAGAAAGACTGGGCTTCAACTCCCATAAAGAATTACCGTTTCGAAGCCCCCTGGGGGGTCACTATGATTCAGCGTTGACTCAGTAGAAGTATGTTTGGGTTTGGGGGTTTACAGAAAGGTTTTCATTTTTAGAAAATGCGTGCTCACGTATTTGGGGATGAAGAAGAAAACGGCACATCCTGCAAAAGGTTGACACAGTGAATCTAGGGAAAGGGTTAACGGGTATTTATTTTACTCTCAACTTTTAGTAGAAAATGCTCAAACTCCGAAGTTTAGTGGAATTGGCCTACGATGAAGTGGTGATCCATTAAGATTTACCATAATAACTCCATGCTACTTGTAAGACTGTGCTAATACTTTGATATTAATCTGTCCATAACGTGACAACAATCGCTTGGACTTCAGGAATAAAACCGCTGCTTTCTCTGTTGGCAGGCGCCTTGGAGCACTATGTCAGTTGCCTGGATCTCGTCAATAGGAGGCTGCCGTACGGCCTGGCTCAGATTGGAGTGTGTTTTCATCCTGTTGGGGACACCAAGCAGACCCCTAATGGCGTTCAAAGGTACCAGCAATGGCAAATAACTTTGTCTTGTGTTGAAATACTCAGGGTCTTTTTACTTTGGGATGAATATGTAATTTTCCAAGATGTTAACTTCAGGGTATTTCTGATCTCTTTAGAATTGGTGAGAAGACGGAAGCTTCCCTGGTATGGTTTACTTCTGCAAGAACTGCAAGCCAATGGCTTGATTTCTGGTTACGCCATCGACTCCAGTGGTGGAGAAAGGTACTACAATACGTTTAATCATAGGTCAGTCATTTTAGTCTCAGGCAATACTTCTATTTCATGTAGCTTTGTTTCATTTGTAAGAGACAGATACTGTCAGGGTAGCCAGCCCCTAACAATTCATCATGGGTCCGGTAGGCGCAATTGTACAGCAATAAGTAAAGATTATAGTAAAGTCGTAGACAGCATGAGAGATAGAAGAGAGATTGAAATAATGGAGTCAGACACATTTCATGGTAGCATGCTCACCTCAGCTCCTTTTCGTGGTACAGGGCAGGAGAGAGAGAGAGAGAGATTTATTGTTAATTAAGACTTATATATCTTTTGGGGACATGCAAGCCCCCTAATTACAGGTAATGACATACGTCACAGGAAAGGGTTGCACTATAGGTAATACAGTAATAGGAGGGGTACAGTCTCGGCATATACATGCAATAGGATGAGGAGGGATTAAGGGTACACATGTGACAAGATGGACGGATCCTTGATTCATGATGGCGGCCTAGCCTTGATTGCCCTGGAGCTGGAGACTTTAGTTGGCCTGAGCTTTCAGGGGAAGCTATCCACTGTCCCTAACAGCAGAGACCTAGCCATTGTGGGAGAAGCAATGGTGTCAGCTTGCTCTGGATGGCTGGAGTCTTCAGGGAGGTAATTTGACAATCATTTACCTTTAGTTGCCAGCAGTGTCCTAAGTCTGACATATATATTTGGGGGAGACGAGCTGGGGGACAGCCTTTTTGTATCCCACAAGATACAATATATCAAGTATAAATAAAAGCTCCCTTTTAATGATTATTGGTGTTGAAGAGTAAAATGGTTATTTTGTAAAGACATTAGTTGCTCTCCATTTCTCAAGTTCAGAAGCTTTTGTTGATAAGCCTGTGTGTCCATGGGGAAGCCCAGACTCTACCCAAAATTCCTGGCTGCTGCTCACTCTCACAGCTTTAGCTTTTTCTCCATTATGAACTCTCCAAATGGCTTTTGAGCTAACAATTGTCTGGGTATAGCGAGGACACAATGCATGGTAGGTTTTCTTACTGTCTTAATAACTACTATATATACTCGAGTATAAGCCGACCCGAACATCAGCCGAGGCACCTAATTTTACCACAAAAACTGCATTAAAAATGTGCTGAAAAGCTCAGCTTATACACAAGTATATATGGTAATACGTAATTGCTTTGATTTTTTTTTTACCATTTTTTTCCCCAGAGTGCTACTATGCCTTCTGTCTGAATGGTCTTTCTAATTCTCTGATCTTTCAAAGTCTTGTTCGTCACATATTCTCCCTATCATCCAGACACCCATCCCAGTTATGAGTGACCCTTTCCATGTACCAGCCTCTAGTTGGCAGTGTTCAATCCTATACCGACTCTTGGTTGGTATATTGTGGTGATTTTACTATTATAGTATTATTTATTACCTACGGCAGTTAAAAGTTAGCATTAGCTCTTTGAGGGCAGGGTAGTGAGATGGTTATGAGCGTAGGCTCCAGGTCAGGTTTTTGGTTCTCGATTCCAACAGGTGTCACTTTGGGTACGTTCTGTGACCCCTCTGCGTTTCTTTTGAAATGAAGATAAAAGACGCTCTGAAATAAATGTAAACTGTTTTAACTATTGTAATTGAGGTCAAATGTCTTCGTAAGTGCGTCGTATTCTAGAAAGGGTATAGGGTAACTTTTTAAAATATATGATATACTCAAAACAGATTTTTAAAATAAATCGTTATCTTCAGTAGTTCCATTAATCGCGTCTTGTGCTACTGTCTACCAAATCCCACTGTGAAATGAGTGCTGAAAGAGGTAGCAGTATCTTAGCATGCCAACCTATGCATGTCTGGAAGGTAGAACTGTTCATTTTTTTTATCTTGAAAAGCTCCACCCCAAAGATCTCTCGGACTCCTTTCCACTCTGTTGCTCTGTGCTTATCACAGGCTTTAGGTGTTCCTGGAAAATGTTGAAATAAGCATTTTGGCTTCCCTTCCTTATTAATCGACCACAAAAAAGGCTGAATAACACTAACAGTTCTATTCTGTAATTCTTTCCAACCCCAAATACTATTTTTGGCAGTACATGTGCATATGTTTAAGTTTCACAGTTTCTTTATGGGACTTGACTCGTTTCAATCAGCTGTACTGTCTAGTTCTCAGAGCTCCTGAGGAGATCAGAAGGAAGTGAACGTTGGTGTTACGACAAGCTCACGCTTCTCTTTACAGTTTGCAGTGACTCCGTCTCACTTCAGCAGCAGCGAGTGTCAGGATGAAGGGGGACGAAAAGGAAACCAGCTTCACTACAGTTTTCCCTGGGGAAAGGAGCCAGTGGAAACCCTGTGGAATCTAGGCGATCGTGAACTCTTACTTACTGATCCTGGAAACACGTCTGCATTACACGTATGTTTTACCGGGAGCTCCTGGTACCTTTTACCCAGGCTCTCCAATGGCACCCTTTTCTGAACCGGGGGAGAATGAGTGGCAGACCAGGTGTACCGCTCACCCCATACCTATGCTTCATTGTGTATGTTTCAAGTGTTAGGACTCCCACTTGCTTTGCTGATTCCTCATTAAAATCGGGGACTTAATAGTAACAGGCAGTCTCCAGATTATGAACAATTTCTGTTCCTAAATCTGTCTCGAAGTCATATTTCCATTGTAAGTTGGACAGTTAGGTCCAGTGTATCTCTAGTGTTAGTCCAGTGCTTGTCTTGATCTCTAGCACGCTTCTCCTTTGGAGCGCTGGGGGCACAGTGGGTCACATGCTCGGGTTGCTAACCTCATCAACGATTTGATTCCATCTGCTGCTCTGCGTGAGAAAGGATCAGGCTGTGTGCCTCTGCAAAGATGTCCAGCCGAGGACCATACGAAGCGGTTCCACTCTGTCATTTAGGGTCATTGTGAGTCACCATCAGCTTGATGGCTGTGTTGGTGGAGTACTTTTCTATGCATAAAAAGCATTAAATGCTTCCAGATACACTAAAATGTCTTTAGTACAATAATCAACTAATGATAATAACAACAATATTTTGATGCATATTACAGAGGAACACCCATTTGTTATTACTAACTGTTGGTTCCTGGAATTTTTAATAGACTTTACTTATATATCTTGGGTTATATATAAAGTAGGTGTTCATAACCCAAGGACTTTTGTTTTTAAACTGTAACTTTTAAGAAATATAACTAAAAAAAAAAAAGAAATATAACTTTGGTGTTATCATCCAGTTTACACGGCTCTCAAAGTTAACCATTTATTCCAATTGTGCCTTTTCTAGGATCCCACCCAGCATCTTGTATTTCATACTGTTGTCATGTTTCTTGTCTTCTTGAACAGTTCCCTCTCTCCTTATATTTCACCCTGACATGTTTGAAGAGTGCTTGCCAGGATCTGTAGACTGTCTAAGGTTGCCTCTTAATATATACATCTTGGCCAGGAAGACCACAGAAGTGGTGCTGGCCTCTCCTCCATCCATCTTTTCCGAGGCATACAATAGCAGTTGGTCGTATTACTGGATAGTGACGATGGCATCCACCAGGCGCCTTCAATGTAAAGTTCATAAGTAATAAGGACTCTTCCAAGCTTTATTAATAATATTCAAACATTTCAAAAATCAGTGCTACCGCTCAAAAATGCTAATTCTCACATCAAGAGCCTGAAAAAGTGAATGGTGCCTGAGTCCCACTCCATTTAGCTCAGAATCTCTGGTCGGGGACCCAAGCCCCCTGTCTTAAGATCCGGTGAGTCTCATCTGTACTCAGTTGGGCCCCAGTATGCTAGTCTGGTTTCCTGAGACCAGAGCATGTGAACTGGAAGCCTGGCGTAGGCTTGGCCCAAAGCAGGTGTGCTTAGCATGAGTTTGTGAAGTGAATGTGTAATGCCCTGTGCCAGTGTGTGTGCGTCTAAAGTCTGCCATTTTAAGAAACAGTCTACTAAGTGGGACTTTTATTTTTGCTTGGCTTTCCTGTGAAGGGCCGAGATGGACGGAAAAATGTGGTTCCTTGTGTTCTGTCGATAAGTGGCGACCTAGACCGAGGTGTGCTGGCTTACCTCTACGATTCTCTCCAGCTGTCAGAAGACGCCTTTACAAGAAAGAAGCATCTTCACAGAAAGGTGCTCCCGATGTTTCAGAGAACGCCTTGGGAGATGGACATAGATGTGTTTTGTTTTGTTTTTCCCTAAAAAGTCTTGCATGCTCGTTTTTTGACAAACTGGCTAATGTATGTATAGTATTCCTTTTAGAGCCAATAATTGAGCAATCCTGGAATCCCAGCTCAGGGCTCATAGCCTGGCTCTCAAAATGCAGACAAACCAAGAGCACTTAGAAGGTTCTGAGGGAAGCCAGCTAGTGTTCCCGGGATTCTTAGCCTTTGCATTTGTGAGTGTCAGCAGGAGTAAGACAAACAGGATCAGCCAGACTGGCCCTAAGCTCTCGGAACTAGGGCTCTGGCTACTGGTCTTGTCCCCAGGGACTGACTAGTAGATCCCAGAAGCTAGATAGGAACCCGGATCAGGGGAAAGGCTTGTTTTAAGAAAATCAGGAGACAGAAGAGGGGTTGAAGTTATAACAGAGACAATAAGGGATTGCTGGAGAAACCCTCCTGTGGAGGAAATGGGAGCAATTCGTTGAAACAGGAGGGAGGGCAGGAGTTGGTGTGGTGACAGTACATAGTCCTCGGGGCGGGTCAGCCGGGAAGGATCTTTTACTCACACCCCTGTTTGTTCCTGGGAATTCAGGCCAGGTAATTAGCTTAAAATGTGGAACAGTCCAGTCCAATGAGTTTTTCAGCAGCACAAGTTTGGAATAGTCCATCTCCCTTGAACGTGAAAGGGAGGTACCCAAGTCAGAAGTAATGTTGACTGCCCACCTCTGGGGTCCAAACTGAGTTTGTAACACCATCTACAAGGTTCAATGATGTATCATGTGCTCATTTAGCTCTTGTGGGTTTAGAGAAGTTCAAATATAGACTTTTTCTGGTTTATAAGGTAGGTAGAATAAATGAGGGGAATCCTTTCTTAGACACCCCCCCCCCCCACATCAAAGCCATTAGCAAATCCTATTTATCTCAACCATCACTATCTCTTAAAGCTTACTTCTTCCTACCTCCACTGCATCTGGCCTGTTCTAAGCTGGCTGCCCCACCTCATCCCCAGCCCCAAAGACCCTTTTCAATGGGACAGACCACTGCTCCTCTGCTCCCCACTCTCAAGGGAGCCCTTCAGGTCCCTGGAGGGAAAGCCAAAGCCCCAAGGTGTCTGCAGAACCCTCTCCTTCTGCCCTCCCTGCCTTCTCCTCTCTGCCTTGGTCCCCTCCAGCAGCAGCTCTGCCCTGGCTGTGTCCAGAGCCGTAGGCTCCCTCCCAACCCAGACTAGTCATTGTTTTCCCTTTGCCTGGGAAGCTCTTCCTCCACTAGCCCCTGGCCTGCTCTCCCACCTCCTTTCTGGTCTGCTCAAATACTGCCTCCGGAGGGGGCTTCCCTGAGCTGCTTGTTTAAAATTGCAAGTAAAGCCTCCTAATCCCTACCCCTTGCCAACCTTCTCTATCCCACCTCCTGCTCCTCGTTTTTAAGGACTATGTTCTTAGCATCTGACATTGGCCTCCTTGAGTGTCTGTTTTCCCACTGTGAGGGGCAGGAGTTTCATCTCCCCAGGACCAGGACTGTTTCTGGCACATAGTAGCCATTGAAATGTTGGATGGATGGATGAGTGAGGAATAGGGATTTGGGAAGAAAGGGTCCAAATGATAAACCAGGTGGCCTGAGCTGGGTAAGGTAGGGAGGGATGCCAGGCAGAAAGGCAGTTTGATTGAAGGAAGATGGAGCTGTCAGGAAATAGGAGCCCAATTCATTTAGTTTTGCATAAAATGTAAGTGGAGACGATGGGCAGCCAGAACAAAGCCGACCAAATTGCTGGGTGATTTTTGTAGGGCCTCAGTGAGTTTTCCTCTCCACACGGAAAATCTAGCTGTTGAAGAAGCTACGTACTTGTTGATACCTATGTAATGTTTAAACTGGATGCTCTTTCTCTACCTCCTGCCCTGCTTTACTGCCTTAGGTACTTAAACTTCACCCTTGTTTAGCTCCCATTAAAGTTGCTGTGGATGTGGGGAGAGGCCCAACAGTGGAACTGAGACAGGTGGGTTGAATGAATTTTAATGTCGTGATTTTAATTATACTCATTATTCCAAGCATCTAAGTAGCTGGCCATTTAGAATGTTATTTTGGTTCATTTGCATTAAGAAGTCTTTTAATTCACCATGGTACTCTGTTAAAGAATCAGAATACAGGCAGTGGCTTGTGCTTCCCAAGCCGTGCTCACAGTAAAATTTTTTGTAACAAATATAGTTTTAGCAATAAAAATATTTATGTAGCTGTCTAGTGCATTATTTCTTGCCCTCTTCCCCTTTTAACTTCATACTTTAAAACGTGTTGGCGTAAGCAAAAGCTCTAGATCTAGCGTTTATGACATGCAGAATTATTACATAATCTTGGGCAATAGGCAGGGGGGGAGGTTTTAGCTGTGTGTGTGTGTGTGTGTGTGTGTGTGTGTGTGTGTGTGTGTGTGTGTTCAGAGAACCCTCTAACCGGTTGCAGTCAGATCAGTTCCATCTCCTAGGACTCCGTAGGCCCGCCCCCAGAGCTCCCCCGGCCTCCTCCTGACAAGAGCAGCTGCCCCATCTTTCCCCAGGGCAGTGACTCGCGTTAGTAGCTGAGCACCTCACCACTGCACCCCGGGCTCCTTCGCAGACCCAGCAGCGGTCGGTCACTGAGACCCATCTGGGACCCAACTCAGGACATGGATGTGAGTGGAAGGCAGAGTTAGCAGCTCTCTGGCCCTGGCTCCAGTGGAGGCATCTGGGATGTGGGGGGATGGGGAGCTCAGGGACCAGGAAGATCATCATTTTCTACCTTGCACCCAGGCTGTGGCATCTCCCCATCGCCCTGGTAGAGGTAGCAAGTTCCTAGGCTATTCTACTTGAAGGACAAAAATCTCTGCTCTCTAGATTTTTGCCATTACAGTTCCAGAACTCGGTTTTATTTCCCATAGTAGTTTTATGTGCCTTCCATGTTTTCATATTCCGAAAGGGTAGTGTGTTGTTTGCCATATTCTTTTTCTCCTTGGCCTTTTTCTTTCCATAACTTTTTCTGTCATATCTTTTTCTCTTTAGCAATTTGTATGACTGAGTTATTATGCCTGCCACTCTCTGGCCCCTGCAGACTTTGTTTCTGGGTATATGTGCGGGGATAGGATTTCTGGCGGGTTCTAGTCTGTCGGCTCTAGATTGCACTCCAGAATGGCTGCACCTGGGAGGGGTCTCCTTCCCCCTGACCTCACCAGGCTTAGAGCTTTGCCCTGCTTTTCTGCCTGCCATTGATGGACCACAATTTCTGCGAGTAATCACTAATTTATTAAAATCCATACTCAGGTTGATTCTTCCTTATTGATTTTTTACATTGAAAAATGTTTATATTCTCATCTAAGGAGCCCTGCTGGCCCCTTGGGCTAGCGTTGGGCTGCTAACCACAAGGTCAGTGGGTCAAACCCACCAGCTGCTCCTGGAATGTAAGATCAGCCTACCTGCTCCTGGAAAGATTTACGTTCTCAGAAACCCGATCTGCAGTTGTCAGAGTCAGAATCTACTTGATAGCAGAAGGTTTGGGTATATTATCTACCTCAGAAAATACCAAGTCAACCACTTCTCGATGGTCTTCCCTGGGGCTTTATTAGAAATGTAAATTCCTAGACTCCTTTTCAGGCCTGCTGACCGAGAAACTTGAAGTGAGGCGAGCAGTTTGCATTTGAACTAGTGCTCTAGGTCATTATGGCAGCCAGGCAGGGCCCCTCCACTGGCAGGGGACATGCTGGAGTGCTGGAGATGTTTGTGGGGGAGTTGTCACCAAGAGGGCTGGGGCTGGGGGTTTGGCAGGACATTTGCGAAAGATCCTATGTCGGCAATGTTGAGGTTTGGACATGCTGTTCAGGAGCCGTCATTCCAGATTGTTGAGGGTGATTTTAAGTTGGCTTTCTTTCTTTCCGCCATTGCTGGTTGAGAAAGTTTCCTCTGCCTTTTGCTCCTTTTTTTTTTTTTTTTGCTTCTCCCTGTTACCACCGCCGTCCTTCCTTGCTCACTGCCTTTTACTCCTTTTTTTAAAAGTCTTTTCTTGTGAATTGAATGAAAGCGTACAGAGCAAATGAGGTTTTCATTCAACAGTTCATGTGCGTTTTGTTTGATGTCATTGATCGCAAGCCCCCAAGGTCACCTTGCTTTTCCTGTGTTTCCTCCTCCTCTCCCAGCACTTCTAGACGTGGTTGGTGGGTAACGCTGAGGCTTGCGTGGTCCTTTGGCCATTGGATTGTCTTTCTGTTTTCATCACTCTTCTAGCCTCTGGAGACAGAGAGACCAATGCTGCCTTCCTTTAGTGTTTCCAGTCAGGCTTTTGTCACTAGACTGTCGTCACTGACAACCACCACCCTGCAAATTAAGTGGGGACTTAGTTCAGATAGGTCAAGGGGCCATGGTTGTTAACTGTTGGTCTGCTCACCACAAGGTCAGAGGTTCGAACCGACCAGCTGTCCCACAGAAGAAAAGTGAGGCTGTCTGCTCCCAAAGAGATTTATAGTCTTGGAAACCCACAAGAGCAGTTCTATCTGTTCTGTCCGATAGGGTCGCTAGGAGTGAGAATCCACTCAATGGCAGTGGGTTCGATTAGTCTTAAGTCACTGCCGGCAGAATTTATACAATTAGCTCTTCTCTTCTTGAACTGGGACACTGCGCCCCTGCATTTCCTTACACTTTCTTTAACTGGTGCTTCGCTTCCTGACACGCAGGCCACCCAGGAGCTTAGCTGGGGGCTCCCAGAGGAGTTTAGACCTCATTTTGCCTGATAGGATCTGTTTAAGTTTGGTTTGAGTTTTGAGTGTTAATGTTAATAAAAATTTTTACCCTTGGCACAGAAATTTCAGAAGATTTTGTATTTTAGTATTCAGCTTAACAGTGCTTAATTTCTCCCCTGGTGGAGGAATTAGATAATTTATATACGACATACAGTTTATAAATGGTAAACATTACCATCACATAATTAAAGGAATTTACACCCATTTTGGATCAAAAAAGTAATTTGTGGTTTGATTAAAACTAGAGCAATCACTCTAGCTATTTTTATTCATTTCATATAGGAAGCTTTTATATTTTCTTCCAGGTTTCTCAAGGGTTATCCAAAGAATTATTAGAAAATGGAATTTCTGTATGGCCTGGTTATTTGGAAACGGTGCACTCCTCAATGGAACAACTATATTCAAAGTAAGGAAACTTGCCTTCTTTGTCACTAAAGATGTGTTTATTCAGAGTCGTTGATTATACGGTATTACTTTATAAGTAAAAGGAACAAATCTCTTACAAGCATTTATGAAATCTAGTTCAGAATTGTTCCTGACTTTGCCTTTTATAGAATCACGTGCTCTTAAATTGTGAGAGAGATTGTGTATCTATTCAGCAGTTATACTTGTGCACGTGCAGTCTGCAACTCCAAAGCCTGTATCGTTCGTCTTACTCTTTATCAAGAATGAAATCGTGCATAGCGCATGCAGTGTTCGAATCGTGGCTGGAGGGGCTCTGTGGGTCAGCGTTCTAGCTCGTTCTGAGACTGAGTGGAAGACCATTCTGCCCTCCTGTCTGCTGGGTGAAAAGTTGTGTAGTTTGTGTTTGGCTCTTGGGGTCTTTGGTAAGTTGTTAAAAGGTGATGCCGGAGGTCTGGTGCTGCAGGGGTCATCGGTGGAGCTGCTAACCACAAGTCCCATGGTTGGGACCTACCAGCGGTCCCACGGGGAGAGCGGAGGCTCGCGAGTCTTGTAAAGGTTTGCAGACCCAGAAGCCCATACTCTGCCTGCAGGTGCTGGGAGTCCGGCGTGACTTGATGGATGTTTTGGTTTTGTTTGTCGAAGCGAGGGAAGCAACCAGTGGTTTGATCGTGACTAGAATGAAGGGGTGTTTGTCCTGACTGCTTTCTCAGGTTCTGGGACTTCCTGTGAGTCATGGGCACGTGATCACATCGCAGCTGCTTTTGATCTGACAGAGGCATTATTATCCCAGAATATTTTTATCCACGTATTTAGTAAACACCTACTACTGTGCATTTGATAAAGCAGGGAACAAGACAGAAAAATGTTCTGTTACCATGAAGTGTTATCATGAAGGGGCAATAGACAAGAAACAAGTATACTCGTGTATAAGCCGAGTTTTTGAGCACATTTTTAATGCAGTTTTTGTGGTAACTCTAGGTGCCTCGGCTGATACTTGCCTTGGCTGATACTCAAGTATATACAGTAAATGGAAAATTTCTGATGGAACCCTACACCACCACCACCACCCCTAAAAGTAGTAGCTAGTGTGACTGGGCAAACAGAAAGAAAGCCATATCAATATGTCAACCACTGCTGAACTAGTACGTCTAAGTGTATCATGCTATGAATTAAGCATGATTTCAGTATGATTTGTTGTGTGCCAAGCTTTTATTTTTATTTTATTTTTTTGAACATTTTATTGAGGGATCTTACAGTTTTTATAACAATCTATACATAAATTGTAGCAAGCACATTTAGACATATGTTGCCATCATTATTTCCTAGACATTTCTATTGAGCCCTTGGTGTCAGCTCCCCCCCCCCCCCAAGCTTTCATTATAACGTATTTGTTTATTTTAAAACACTTTAAGATAGCTTTGTCCAAATACTAAAAAGGCTGAGGAAAATAGCCTCTCAAATCAGGAGGGGTCTTCAAAAAGTGTAAAGGCAAATGGAATGAAAAGATGATGGAGTTTTTCCATGTGGTTTTTGAAGCACTCTTGTAAAATGTTAGGGAGCCAGTGTTTGTGTTCAGCTTGATGAATTAGAAGTTCTCTGAGGTGTTAAGATGCATCAGTCTTGTTCGGTCCCGTCCCCTGAACCCTGGCACTGGCTGCAGCACGGCCCTGAAGGAATTCACGCCGAGGATGCCACCCCGGGGCTTCGCAGCGTTGCTCACCGTGTCCGTCCTCTGGCTGCTCTGTTCCAGGTATGATGAGATGGGCATCCTTTTCACAGTTTTGGTGACGGACGCTACTCTGGAGAATGGCTTGATAAATCTGAGAAGTAGAGACACCACGATGAAGGAAATGATGCACATATCCAAAGTCAAGGACTTCTTAGCCAAGTACATCTCTCCAGCTAAGAATGTGTAGATTTTAATGTCTGCAGAATAAATATTTGTCTTTCCTAATATGTGTGTGTGTGAAGATTGATCCAATATTACCAACTTTTATTAAATAAACACTAACCTGACACATTTTTATCAGTATTACGAATTATGGTCACTAATACAAGTTAATAAGGTGTTATGAATTTACTGTAGCTGCAACGTAAGTGTTGAAAGTTCTCATCTATTTCTTTTTTTACTAATTGTTTTGTTGGGGGGCTCTTGCGACAATCTTACGACAATCCATCATTTCAATTGTATTAAGCACACTTGCACATATGTTGCCATCAACATTTCCAAAACA